TTCATAGCTAGGCTCTCTTCATTGAGAATGGTTTCTGAGAATATCAAAGAAGGGTTTTTGACATATTGTCATATAATCAGGTAATTATTTAAACATTTTTTATTGTACCCTCACCACTATCCAGACCTTCCGCACAGCCCTCAAGACCTGGTTCTCCCAGCAGGCCTGGGGATAGGTTTCCCATTTACCTGCCCGAGTGTTGATTGTTGAATGCATGTTGTGGTTTATCATTTTATCTTTGGTCACTTATTGTTTGTCTCTTGTTACTGCACACCCTTCCCTTTGTGATTGTAAGCCGCCCTGAGTCCCCTCAGGGAGAAGGGCGGCCTATAAGTCTTAAAAACAAAAAACAAACAAACAAACACTTTATCAAATTGCTCATTTACAACATTTTGCCACAATCAGGCAGGGATGCTTTTAATAGCTATTGATCAGAGATCATTTAATTAGATGTTCTACTGACTGATTAGATTCAGTGTTAGAGAAAGGTGTCTTGGTTGATTTGGTCTATTTAAAGCATATTTTTTTCACCTAAAATGAAAAGGTGATAAACCTAATAAATTGCTCATTTTAAACACTTCTAAATTTGCTAAAAGCAAAGGTAGATTCCCCTCGCGCATATGTGCTGGCCATTCCTGACTCTAGGGGGTGGTACTTATCTCCGTTTCAAAGCCGAAGAGCCAGCGCTGTCCGAAGATGTCTCTGTGGTCATGTGGCCGGAATGACTAAACACTGAAGGTGCACAGAACACTGTTACCTTCCCACCAAAGATGGTCCCTATTTTTGTACTTGTATTTTTATATGCTTTCAAACTGCTAGGTTGGCAGAAGCTGGGACAAGTAACAGGAGCTCACTCCGTTATGCGGCACTAGGGATTCGAACCACCGAACTGCCCACCTTCTGACCGACAAGCTCAGCATCTTAGCCACTGAGCCACCGCATCCCTTGCTAAAAGTACATCCATTCAATATTTGGAAGAAAATCTACATTAACTCTACACACATTTCACTGCAGAGTGGTAGCATATCTATTCTCCCAAATAATGTTATTTGGTGGTTTTCTGGCTTCATTCTGTTTTTATTCTGATCTTTGAAGTAATTCTCTAGTGCTGTTAGTTGCAACATAAATTCTTACAAGATTTATAAAACATTGTTATATTTAATAAGTAGCTAGGTTTTCCTCATTGTAATGGGCTCCAGTATCTATCCCAACTCCAACGTATTCAGGGCAGACTGTTTCTCATTAAAAATAAAGAGAATCTTTCTTTAACTTAGGGCTACGGTATGAGATTTGGACCACAAAAAAGTTAAATAACCATGAGACAGAAGCAAAGAGATGTTTGTGCATTAGCTAACATTTAGCTGTCATTCAGAACTTTGCAGTTCTTTTTCACAACCTTATTAATCACAAACATGGCTGACACTACTGTATCCACTTATCCACTTATTTAATGGAAATGGTCCTGTGAATTTAAAGTATTCAACAACAATCAAAGCATTCAACAGCAATGAAGAAAACTACACCGGCTGAATTTCTGCTGATCTCAAAATTCTTAGAACACAATGGCAATTTCAACATAATATAAAGCAGGTTTGCTTCCTCTTTTATTCTATTCACTGTATGTATATTTCTATCAAGGGCTACCAGATCTGGCTGGAAAAAATACAGATAGCCAGTAGATAGAAGAAAACAACTACACCCCCCCTCAAAAAAAAACCCCTACCTCCATCTGACTCTATGCTATCATTTCACAATTGGCCCAAGTAATGGAGACCAGGTGTGCTGGATATATTAGGAGACTCCAGGTAATAGCCAAATCTAGTTTTTTTCAGATGTTGGACTGCAACTCCCCTCATCCTCTATCTTACCTAAGGATGATCCTGGCTACAGATGTTGTGCATTGTAATCCTACATATCCAAAGACAGTGCAAGCAAATCTACGTTGCAGAAATCCAAACTACCACTAAATGGCAATATAGGGACACATAAATGTTGTGTCTTTGCTGCCATCTAGATTCAATAACACTAAAAAACAGGAGTGCTTTAACACATCCCATCAGAATGAATACATGCCACATTCAATAAGATTCAATTCTGCCTTCCAGCTGCATTAACAGTCAGCAGGGGCACATCCTTCTGCCCCTTAGCTCAAGTAGACGTTTGGTTTCAGTCTCAATTACAGAAGTGGCTCTGCATCATCACTTACATCACTTACAGCTAGAGACGTCTGGGAGTTGAAGTCTACACATCTTAAAGTGGCCAGGTTTAAGAAACACTGACCTACATGGAACTTACAAGAAGAGCAGACAGACATTCAAACCCATCTGTTGTTGTTTTTCCCCCAAACATGACCTAGCTGGAACACAGACTAGGTAAGGAACATATCAGGGTTGATCACAAGCCCTGTAGCGCTAACTTTATACATCACAGCTGTGAAATATTAGGTTAGAAACTATTAGAAATCTTAACAGACTTTATTCTAGCTATCTTGCCACAAAAGAATGATGATGGGTTTTAGCTATGACATGTTTTAAGCATAGTTTTCTGAATCAGAACTGACTGAGTTATTCATTAAGCCAAGGGGGGGAGGGAATGGGGGTTATCAAAGCCTTTTCTCCCGAATTCTCCCTTCTCTGCTACAAAGCCATTAGTGTCAACTGCCCTGGGGAAGGGGTTTAGAAAATGTTTCTGTGTTTGTTTGTTTAAAAATGTTTTATTTTTAATTCAGAATTATCTATGTTACTTGAAAACTACTTGGATAGAATTAGAATTGGAAAAGGAGGATATAAGTAGTAGTAATAAATGAATACACAAATATTTGTGCTTTCATTTTTTTAAAGTTTTTATATTCTTTATAGTTGCCCTGACTCACCCCAAATAAAAAAATTAAATGGTTGTAAAAAGAAAAAAACATTCTTTATTCCATATTTTACTGTCCATTAAATACTACACTGTAGTTATTGTTTTAACTGTAACACTAAATGTTTTTGCTAAGCGGAAAGGTGGCCTAGAGATTATCATCGATTATGCTGGATAAATCTAGTCAGTGTGGTTAATTTAGAGTTTAATGTATTGTGCAAACTACAGCAATCAGGGTAATTCAGTTAATCATGGGTTTTCATGGTGTAAAAGCACAACTAATATGTAATGCTGGTGATTTATTTTAGTGCTGGCTCTTTATATGGGAGCAGCTATATAGCCCACAAATGACTCATTTGCTTGCCACCCAGAATTCTTTGGTGAATGGACAGTCATGTAAGTATATTACATAAAATATATGAGCATATACCTTTTGCAAAGAGTTTCCCAAAGAATAAGGTGCTTGCATCTGTAAGCAACTACTGTCTGTCTGTTCACATTCTGTCTAAGTCAGGGGTCCCCAAACTTGGCAACTTTAAGACTTGTAGACTTCAACCTGAGAGACTGCCTCCTGCCAATTACCTCCCAAAGACCGATCAGATCGCACAGACTAGGCCTCCTCCGGATTCCATCTGCCAGCCAATGTCGGCTGGCGACTCCCCGGGGGAGAGCCTTCTCTGTTGCAGCTCTGGCCCTCTGGAACGATCTCCCTGTTGAGATCCAGACCCTCACTACCCTTCCGGCCTTCTGTAAAGCAACTAACACCTGGCTGTTCCAGCAGGCCTGGGGCTGTTGAACTATCCAGCCCCACTTTAATTGTTATTGTTGGGTATTTTATAAATGGTTGTATTGTTTTATATATTCCCCCTCCCTTTTTTATTGTAAGCCGCCCAGAGTCTTCCGAGAGCGGGTGGCATACAAAACTAATAAATAACAATAATAACAACTCCCAGAATTCTCCAGCCAGCTGGAGAGAATCTTGGGAAATGAAGTCCACAAGTCTTAAAGTTGCCAAGTTTGAAGACCTCTGGTCTAAGTGAATAACACTTTAGACATTTATTCATCTGATACAACAACAATGGTTCTTTCAAAAGTCTCCTATATGCCCCCCCATGTTAATTTCTGGTGGCCTACATGGTCCAAGTTCTTGTTCTCCAGGAAGCATACGTATCTATTTCCTTGTGTGATGTAGGGAGGAGGTGGAAGAAGATGCTATTCTACATTCTTAGTGATTGTCTTTCCATCCTGGCAAGACACCCCACCTCCCCAATTGTTAACCTTGCTAAAACCAACACAAACTTGCTCTCCTTTGCCTCTCTCAAAAAATATTGTAAAAGGGATGATTGTATTTCTTCCCCCCGTAACTAAAACCTTTATCTATAACTTCTACAGGAAAAAGTCAGAATGTGATTGTTTAACTAGTAGGCTAAACATTTGTCCCAATACATTAAAGACACTGCTAATCAAAACAGACAGGTTTTTCATGGGCTTATCAGGACTAACATATTTTGCACCTGAAATAGGAGGGGGAGAATGAAAGCCGCTTTATACTAATCTGCTCGTGTTTAATGCACTCCAGAAATGAAGCCTGGGGACAGAAAATCTGCTGCCTAACGATAGCTGCTTTGTAGCATTTCGGGGCCATGGCACCTGGAGCCTGATGCCATGTAAAAGAACAAGGCTGTTGTGCAAGGCATACGAACAACCCAGATGGTCCAGAGCAGGGGAGGAGGTGGGAGGGGGAGATGGAGGGTGGAGGAGCAGCCCAGAGTTAGACGTAGAAACATCTTCATGGCTGGCACCCAAGTCAGACTTGGGAGGAGGGAAGCTTGCTAGTGAAGATTGGCTGCTACCTACCCCCAAGAGGCTCCTTTGCAAACTTAGAAGGGGTGGTGCTAAATAGCCTGGAGCAGAGGCTTTACGTGAATCCAGCTCCTTCCATCCCACTGATAGTGACAAATATAAAGAGCCACTTGGAGAGAAGAGATTTGCTTTCCTGGGCATACATACCTGGGTTCCATAGCAGGTACTGGCAGTTTAATTTGGCAGGGATTAGAACAGAGCAGTAAAGTTAGTTGCCAGTGGCACCTGCGGCAACTCACTTGCCTCTTTTCCAGCAGAAACAGCGTAATCTCTGGACCATGATCTTTCTCTGTCGGTGGAATGTCCTGGATGCACTACTACTGGTTCTGGTGCAAGGCTGGGTGCAGTCCATGAGTCAGGAGTATGATTACTACAGCTGGCCTTCAGATAACTTTCAGCATGGACACTTCTATACCAAGCAATCACAGTGTGTGGACATCCCAGCAGATCTGCAGCTCTGCCACAATGTGGGTTACAAACGAATGCGCTTACCTAATCTGCTGGAACATGAATCTATGCCTGAGGTCAAGCAACAAGCCAGCAGCTGGGTACCTCTCCTGGCCAAGAGATGCCACTCAGACACACAGGTTTTCCTCTGCTCTCTGTTTACGCCCGTCTGCCTGGATCAGCCCATCTATCCATGCCGTTCCTTATGTGAAGTTGTGCGTGATTCATGTGCGCCTGTCATGGAATCCTATGGCTTCCCCTGGCCAGATATGCTCAACTGCAACAAATTTCCTTTTGACAACGACCTCTGCATCACAGTGCAGTTTGGAAACAACCAAGTTACACAGCCACCAGGTAACAGTGTGGAGGGCAGGGGAGGTGGGATGAAAAATTAATACAGCTATTTCTTATACCATTCCTATAGAAGCCCCCTTTACAATTCTCCTTGGACTTTGGTTCCTAGTAACAAATCTCCTGCATGCTTCTGTCTATATTAGTGTTTCCTGGTGTCAGTGCTTCCAGATGTTTGGATTTCTATTATAGGTAGTCCTTGACTTATGAATTTTGATCACATGACCATCGGGATGCTGGCACAATTGTAAATGCAAGGACTGGTTGTGACTTTTTTCAGTACTGTTGTAACTACAAATGGTTGTTAAATGAGTTGTTGTCATTCAAGGATTACAGCAGTCACCATGCTGGCTGGGAAGCTCTAGGCTTGAAGTCAACACACTTAGAAATTGTCTTAGATTGGAAAACACTAGTCAGGACTTCCACCCTCTATCCCAGTGTTTCTCAACCTTGGCAACTTGAAGATGTCCGGACTTCAACTCCCAGAATTCCCCAGCCAGCATTCAAGTTGCCAAGGTTGAGAAACACTGGTCTATCCTTTACAATTTCTACATATTAGGCAACTTGTGCAGACATTTGCCACACAACACTATACCCATATCAATGTTTTCTCTCTCTCTGTATTATAAGAGCAGGACATTACCTTCTGCTTCATTATCCTCCTACCTGCCTTAGGGACACTGGGGCTTTCATTCTCTCTTATTGTCTATATATCCCAGTACCTTGTAATTAACGCATGTTACTATCAGTGCAAAATACAGTCTGTGAGTAGCCTCATAGATAATTTGTTCCTTCTAATGATTTCAGGATTTTCTTTTATACTGGAATATAACTTCCAAGCCCAATTACAAAAGCAGTAGCATTCATATAGGATGAAACATCCAACATAATGTAACTTTTTCTCTAGTATGCATCTTTTAGGAGTGCAAGCTTCTTCACATAATGACCCTTGAAGGAACTCATCCTCTCAGGCATGCAGTCTGGGAGAAGTGAATACAGAGAGAGTTTAGAAGTAAAACCAAAAAATGTTTGCCCACACATAGGCATGCATATCTGCTATCTACAAGCAATTGTTTGCAAATTCTTTGGCCCAGCAGCCAGCTGGAGGCACTGTCTGCTCAAAAGAGAACCCAGGCTAATTTCAGAGGTATTCCGATTATAGAGCAAGCTGGAAAAAGAACACAGAAACTCTTTTTTTTTTTTACACCTAGACTTAGTGAGCACCAAATCTGGACCTGGTAAGAACCAGTCTATATCTGGGATCTAGGAAACACCATTTTTCACAGAGGCTTCTGAATGTAATCAACAGTATTTATGGAGCTGAGAGCTGAAGAAGCTTCTTGGATGATATGTGAAACGTCTCTTTAAAAAAAATCCAGAAAGTCCAGTTCCCTCTTGAAAAATCATATTTGGGACAACCATGGCCTGGATAACTGAGAATCTCCATAGATAGATATGGAGGCGAAGCATATTATTTTCACCCCAAACACCATAGCATTCAGAGCAATTTTTATGAGAATGTTTTCCTCACACAAGAAGGAGATATAGCCAAGCTACTTCCATAACCCAGGCCTTAGAAGCCAAATCCCAGCAACCTCCAGCACATAATGTTTCTCAATCTTGACTATTCTGGGAGTTGAAGTCCTCTTCAAGTTGCCAAGGCTGAGAAATACTGCCAGCACAGCTTTTAGCTCCAGGTTCTTTCATTTCAGAATAGCTCTGCTGTACAACCCAGAGCAAGATAAAAAGAACAGCAGGAAAACAGAGGAATATTAAAATGGATGGTTTTGAAACATCAGCACTAATCTGTCTCTCATGCACATACATCAGTCCTATTCACTCAACTTGCAAGACTGAATCAAGACATTAGCAAATACCTAAACCTTGTCATTGATACAAAACTATTTTTTCTCTCAGACAACCCTGAAGTAACTTCTACCTGAGCTCACCTCCCCCACTTACCCCAGTCCCCATCAGCTGTGTCCTCTAAAAAAAAGATTACAAAAATTATTTCTCTGGCTTGAATAGGAAGAGACTCAAAATCATTGTCTCCAAATGTTAAGTTTCCCTAGGTATACTGTTTGTCTTTTCATTTTCTGTCTCATACACCCACAAGATACCACAGCCATTCAGGAATGTTTGATTAAGCTCCTCCTCTCCAACTCGCTCTAAGGACACTAGTCACAGTCAGTCATGTAGAATTTTAATAATCATCCACAAGAAGTAACTTCGCCCATGCCTATTTTGTGGTGGCTGAAAGATGTCTCTATAAAAGAAAATATTTGTAGCTCAGGGTTGAACTGTGGAATCCGTGGTGCTCTCTGAGCTTGGTTGTTTTCTTGTAGATACATTACACAATTACCGGTACATAACAAAGTCAGTATCACTATGTTGCCTAGTTGTGTGAAACATCTGCAAGAAAACAACCAAGCTTGGAGCTCCACTGGGGAAGTATCACACTGGAGGTGATTGATGGACCAATAGCTGATCTCACCTCTCCCCTCCTATGTACATTTTTGCTCCCTCCCCATCTTAGATAAAGGTAAAGGTTTCCCTCACACATATGGGCTAGTCGTTCCCAATTCTATGGGGCAGTGCTTATCTGTGTTTTAAAGCTGAAGAGCCAGTGCTGTCGAAGATTTCTCCATAGTCATGTGGCAGGGATGACTAAATGCCAAAAGTGCACGGAACGCTGTTACCTTCCCACCATGTTTTTTCTACATGTATTTTACATGCTTTCAAACTGCTAGGTTGGCAGAAGCTGGGACAAGTAACAGGAACTCACTCCGTTACGCAGCACTAGGGATTCAGACAGCCAAACTGCTGACCTTTCTGATAGCCAAGCTCAGCGTCTTAGCCACTGAGCCACTGCATCCTTTCCCCATCTTAATTACCATAATTTTAAGTATACATATTTTTATTGCTACTAGTTTTATTGCTTTTAACCTTGTAAGCCACCCAGAGTTACCTTGTGGATGGATGGATGGAATGGATGGATGGGTGAATGAACAGGCAGGCACTCACAGAACAGCAAGGATTCCACAATGTCACTATTCCCAGTTGGAATGGGGTAGAAGTGCTGCTAATGTAGGAGGGATTTGGCCAAAATCCAAACTTTCTCATGGGAACATAATCACTATGAAATGTATTTGGAGATAATCTCTACTGACTCCCATCCCATTGGATATTTAGGAACAGCTAATAATGTATTCTAATGGGGTTTCTCTCTGCATGCTTCAGAAGGGCAATGCAGATTTTATTCTGTCCTTACTATCATTTTTGGTCAATGACTTGATTAAGTATAATGTTTGGCAAACTGAAGAGGTTCTTGCTAGCAAAGTTCTTTATATGCCTGTGTATTAAGCAAGTCATGTTTAGTGCTTGATGCAGAGTCCAGGAAATAACAAAAAGGCTAAAGAAATAATCATGCAATGAATTTTATAGTACATATCCAGGATATATCTTTAATTCAAACTCACAGTATGGGTCCAACTTTGTGTCTTTCTTTATCTGAGTTAAAAAGAAAGATGTCACACTTCTTGTATTTTAATACTCATAGAACAGTAAGAGCCTTAGCCTATCCAGTTTAATAAGTTGGAAGAAAACTAGACCCACTGGTGGGGGTTTTTTTGTGGGGGAAAAAAACCCCTTTGTCCTTTATTGCCTTTTTTTCATTTTCCTCTCCCTTTCTTCAAATGTATACTAATATAGTAATTATGCAGATCTTCCTAGAAGTTGATAGAGTGCAACCACCATGTAGGATCCAGAGTAACAACTAAAGAGCAATGCTCTAATAACGCATCCCATTAAGGCAACATACATTCATGAACAATATTCCCTTTCCTGCTGTCTTAGTCTCATTTGCCCACTGAGTAGAATGCTGGGGGCTGCAGTAGAAAGGAATGGGAGAGGCAGGTAAAAACTAAATTTGATTATGGTATATTAAACTTACATTTCATATAAACGTGATTATTCCTCATCTATTTAAGCATCCCCATTAACATGTTAAAAATAGAATTCAGTAGCTATACTGAGATGGTTCTTCAAAGGGGTGCATCCAAAGAGTTGAATATTGCATAATACTCTTTAGTAAAGATCTAAAGCTCTCATTATCCAGTGGCCAACATCTGGCAAGGATGTTTGCAGTTTATTCCTTGTATACCTAGGTAGCACCAAATTGAGAAAAATGTCGATCAATATTCTATATTCTAACAGCTAACTAACTAACGTGTTTGTGTGTGTGTGTGTGTGGTATTTGTGCTGATAAATAATGGACAGAGAATGGAAGCAGTTAGCTTCCTCCCATAATTGGGGCATACCAGGGGTTGTGACTTTAAATATGTATGTATAGTTCGATTCCCAGTAAGGGTATGGCTAGCTGATGAGAGCTAAATAGCTTGAAATAGATCTATACTAGTCTCCCTTTATTTATCAGCACAAATACCACACACACACACACACACACACACACACACACACACACACACACACACACACACACACACAC